TATGCTTGAACGTTTTACATAATTATTTTAATGATTCAATAAAATTATTTTCAGATCTGTATTTAACTAAATGTTTACATACTTCAGAGTTATCACAAATTCCTTATCATAAAATTCCACAACTTTTCCCTGATATCCAGACAATTTCATTTTTCCTGCTTTCAATAATATTTTGAAATTTTTTTTGTATTTTTTGTATTTTCATCCTTCTGAAAACCGTCAAATATTTTGTTGACAGTGCAATTTAACATAGCAATGTAATTTACTATTAATGTTGCTAACACAGTTACATAGCTTGCACTTAATTGTTAAATTGATAGTTCCAAAACTGCGTAGGTATGATGTACGCATATTATACTTTTTTTTAAAGCCAAGAATGTTAATTTTCCAGAAATTTTTTAATTTTGCAAAATTATCTGACTTTACCTTGATTTCCAATTTTGTGACAATCTTATACGGGTGTTCAGCATAGTCCGCACGATTTCTCTCAGATATTTCCGACAGTTAAGAAAAAAAATTAAAATATTCATCTGTTACAACATGCGATTTAATATTAAACAAAATTTTTTTTTCATAAAAAAATCAAAATCATAAAAAAATTTTTTTAAATAGCACCGTATAATTTTTTTTCTATAATATTATAGAGGTCTTCAAAACAAATTCAAATTACTACCGAAATGTCACTTTTATTAATGTTTATTGATTTTATTAATACTTAATATCAAATTTGTAACATTATTTGTAACAACAGTACTTACAACTTCTGATTAGAACACAGAACATACATACATACATGTACTTATTTAATAAAATATGCAATAAATAAAATCAATAAAACATCAACAAAAATAACACTTCAACAGTGATTTGAATTTATCTTAAAGACGCTTACAATATTATGAAAAAAAAATTGTACAGTGTTATTTAAAAAATTTAAGACGACTGATTTTCTTATGAAAAAAACATTTTTTTTAAATTTTTTATCGCATGTCGTAGCCTATATAAAACAAATGACTACTCACCCTTCAATCTTTTTTTTTAACTGTCGAAAGTGTCTAAAAAATCATGGGAACCGTTACACTGAACACCCTATATACATACTTCAACAAAATCATTTTTTTCTCTTGTGCTCTACATATAAAACTCTTAAAATGAATCTCACTTTGAAAAGTGAAATTTCATTCTTAAAGATTAAAAATTAAGTTGTTATTTTTCAACTCAATTTTCGCTCTTTAGAGTGAGATTCCATTCCAAAAGAATTTACTTGATTCAGCAGAGAAATTTCCTACCTCGCGTTACATAAGAAGAATCAGAATTACATCGACGAATTACATGTCGTCTGAAGTGGACTTGACAGCGAGATTTACGTCATATTTATTCATACGATCCGACGACGGATATTAACGACGATACTAACGTTTACAGGAGAATAAGCACTTCGGTCGACAACCACTGACCGGCCGTGCGCGTATAAGCTTTTCCTCTACAACTCGCGGTAGTGGATAGACTTTGCGACGTAAATGAATATTGCAAGTCCTACAGGCTGCACCTCTGTCAAGCTAGCAGGACCAAAGATGAGCGGGATCAAAAAAGACCTTTTGAACTATTTAATGCTCATTTTTTTATGCTAATTTGTGCTACAAAAAACTCTTCTCTTTCAAATGGCACAAATGAAATTAAAAAATCTTAAAGTTGCGCGCTGGCCATATTCTTATTTTTCACTTTTCGTTTAACTGTTTGAGATACAAACGAAATAATGATTAGTACAAACAGGTACAAACGAAGTACAAACGCGCTACAGTATTAATTTGTATTTTTGACAAAGTTAGGCGCCAGGTTCACATCGGTCCAGAAAGCCTCGTTCGACGACCTTGAGGTTCGCTTTCCCTCTCGATTTGACCGATTTGCACCGATCTCTCTCATCGGACAATAGCCGAAATTTCGTACCAATTTTCGGACACTACGATTTATTGCCAAGTATTCCTGCTCACCTCGCTCCTGCGTCAACAAGCGTTCGTTGCGTGTCGAATCGACGAAGAACGTCATTGCTCAGTCATGTATGTTTAACTGTGCAGCGAAATAAAAGGGTCTTTTCTGGGAGAATTTGTTCAGCTTCTGAGGAAGCTCACTCGTCACTGAAACTAGACATTTGTCATAATGTGATAATAATGCTCTCAGAAGTTTAAGAAAAAAAAAAGAAGCGAAAATTTGCACAGAAAAGTCACAGTCACGTATCTTATCTGATGCTATGTACGAGATGAAGAAAGTAAAAAAAAAAACTAAAGAAGCTTTATCGATATCGTGATCTTTTAATGCTATTTCTGTTTGCTTTTAATATTATTGGAATTTACATCTTACGTAAATTTATTGCACGTCATAGATATATCTTACGTGCGTGCGCTCGCAAACTATAAATATTTTAAAGCAATCTGAGTGTGCACCTAGTTGAATATCCAACTCGGCGGTTGCGAATTTGTACGCGAATTTGTGCTCAGCGTACCGAACGGATAGATAAAAAGAGATAGACGCCATGGAAGACGACAAATTAATCGCGCGTCTACGACTGATAATAAAGCTACCCAAGTAGCGAAATATCTGGCTCGCGCACTCTAAAGGTCCGACCGGATTCTTTCTTTACAGAGCAAACAATCGGGCAATCGCGTCTAACGACAACGACGGTTTAGTACGCCTCCTATTTGCCCTCGTCGGCGACAAATAGAAGAAGAAAGTGCGCGTGAGCGCACTAAATCCCTTTAAATCCGAAAAGTTGAAGCTCCAAGGATAAGTGTTTATTCAAGCGCGTGTTCCCGTCGCGCGATGCGGACAGATCGGTTTCTACAACCGATTGGAATCAGCTTTTCCCGATCAAGAGTATCGAGTAATTAACGATCGGAGAGTAATTGACCTTTCATTACTCGCATGAAATCTCTCGCTCTATAAATTCTAAATGTAAATATAAATATAAAAGTTATTCACGTACTAACGTTTAGACGTTAATATATATATAATGAAAAAGATTTATTAAATTTAAATACACATTTCAGTAATATACTTAATAAAATATTGCTTAATAAAAATGACAGTTATTAAGTCAAATTAATGGATTCTTGTAGGAAATAAATATGTTTACATTTAGTAAATATTTAATTATTATTTAAACAAATATTTATTAAAATTTATTTTAATAAATATTTGTTTAAATGGTAACTAAATATATTAATTTAGTACAAATCATTTCATTAATTAAAAAAAATTTTGCATTTATCTTTAGCTAAAAGATAATATAAAATATTTAATTAGGAATTATCAAAGAAAAGGGTAAAAAAGATGATATGATATTGAGATGTCAGAAACATTCTATGATAATCACATTAAAAAAAAAACTTGAGTAATATTAGATTAATAATTAAGACCAAGGTATTTCTAACGAATTAAATTTCAGATGAAAAGATAAATAATAAAAGAACACTTTCCATTACCTTCAAGTAAACTTTGGTAAAATTTAATTGACTAATAAATATGTTAAATATTGAAAGAATGAAAAGATTTCCCTCGACATTTTAGTTAAAGGAAACAACTTCAAATTGATCAAAGAGAAGTTGAGGATCAAAAGAATAATATTCTGGAATATTCTGGAATTTACGTATAATGTTCCACGGAAAAACAATTGTGGTACTATAAAAACATCGCTTTCAATGAGCTTTCGCATTAAATCACTGCTAATGTTCGCATGAAATTCTCAGATAATTTAATATTATTGAACAATAGAAACCATAATAAATAGTTACTATGCGAGCTGCTATCAAGCATTAATATAAAAGCGGACGAGATATTTGCATACTTGATAATATGTGTGTGATATCAAGAGCGCGTAGCTTGGGGGGCAATTAATCCTTAGTATACGCACGATTAGATGTTCGTATCCTAAAGGTCGATTATGTATCTTAAAATATGGTGAAAATTACAAAAGTGAGTAAATTTAACAGAATATTCATAATTTAATTGGTCAGCAGTAAATTTGCTTAGTAAATTTGCTCACTTTTGTAATTTTTATCTTATTTCAAGATGTACACAATCGATCCACTGCATATTAAAAAAAAAAAAAAAAAATCAGGAGCATCAAGTAATTAATTATAGCATTTATATACAATTCTTTTAAAAATATACAACCTTATCGAAATTTTCTAAAAAGAACAGCCTTAATAAAAAAGATTAAGCACTTATATTTTCTTCATTTAGATATCTGAAATTCTGATTCTTTTACCTGAATTGTCGTCTATTAGTTACCGGTATTAAAATAAGGGACAATTTACAGCAAATAAATCGTTTTTTAAAACTAAAACCTTACATAGTGATTAATGAGGTACCTAATATTGTTGGTCAATATTGCATATGTAAAAATCACTTAATAATTTCCGTATATTTGTCAAAGTGATGAAAATGAATCTGAGACACGAATGATCCATCGTGTGTAATAGAAATTAAGATGAAAGTCAGTCATAGAGAAACTCGCGTCGATGTCCGAAGGATCAACACGCGACATTCTCTTGCAGCTCCGAAACAAGCACCTATCCGTGACAGCCGTGAACTTGGGAGGGGATCGTGAGTGCGTGCGTGCGTGCGTGCGTGCGTGCGTCGCGAGAAACGCGGGAGCGTGAGATCGAAACGTGAGCTCTCATTCTCGTTCACTTCTTGCCCCTGGCCTCTCCTTTGCCTTTCTCAAACGTCTTACCTCGACGCCGGTTCGAGATCTGTCACGCTGGCTCTCGTGAGGAACGATCGAGGTGGCACCTGGAGCCACCAATTCAGAGTGAAGCGGGGTAGAGAACATGATCCGGCGACCAGAATGGAGCGTGTCATCCACGCGAGAGGAGAAAGAGGCAAGGACGTCGCGGGAGGAGGAAAAGAAAGAGGAATGTCGTTACCGACAGAGTTTCGCGTCCGCGCTCCGTTCCGTAAAGAAACGACGTTTTCGTCCCATCTTTGTCTGCCGCACTTACTTCTGATACTGACTAGCCGCAGACTGAAGGCGCCAATGACGATGACGGTAACACAATGATGATGACGTTAATGACGGTGACACAGCGACGGCGGTGTAGCTCCGGAAATAGAAGCCGGCAGCGAATTACGGCGCACGTACACGTCTCTCTCTCTCTCTCTCTCTCTCGCAGACTCGTCCGGTATAATTCGACACTGAACACTTTAGTTTAAGCTGACGGACAACGCGCAATCGTATCGGCGACACGAAGAAAGCACAATGGCCGACCGCGCGGTTTCGCGGTACTCGCACTCAACTGGCAGTCGTGGCCACGATCTGCCGCACGGGCCCACGAGGTGCGCTTCTTCCTCCCTCCCCCCACCCGCTGCTCTTGACAGAAAGAGATAGAATGAGAAACGTGGCTGTCTTTCTTCTTTCCTTCCTTCCGATCGAAAACGCGCGTCCCACACGATGACGAGGGCGTCGTGGCACGAGAGACACCGGATAAAATATATAAATGTTCAAACTCGATGAACGGTTCCGTCAACGTGTGCGCCTGATTGTGTAAAACCCCGCGTTCAGTTGCTGCTCTCGCGGCCTCAAGTCGCTACAAGCCGCAGCACGCGATGGACAAAAACCGACTGACTGGCTAGTGGCGTGCCGCGAGGCCGCGAGGCGTGAGATACCCGCGAGCGCGACGGGATGGATGAGAGGTTATAAGTGGTGGGGAAGCGGGAGCCGGCGCGGTGTGCTGCGCTCCTTCGCGTAGCGAAGTGACGCGAGAAGGACACAGCGTGTCTACTGTCTACTCTCTCGCCGGGCGCGCGCGTACTTACGGGAGCGAGACCGAGACGGCGCATAGCGCACCAGAGCGCACGTCCTGCACTCCTGCCGCGAATGGCCGCGATTGGCGCGATTGGGCGTGGTAGAGTCCCTAGACTCTATCGACCGCCGCCGATGCGGCCGCCATTGTTCGTCGCCGGCCGGCGCGCGAGTTTCAAACGCGTGCGGAAGGGAAGATTGAAAAGATATATAGTTTACCACCGACGAGACACTATTAAAGACCGTCGATCCTGGGCAAATTTTCGGCGGTATAAAAAGGGCCTCAAGGACCCTGAGGTAATTGAAGAACGCTGACATTATCGACAATTGATATAAATTTGCTTTTACATAAATATTGGGCTCATACATTATTAAATTCACGATTTTTTATTACATAAATGTTTCA